AAAAAAAAAAAAAAAAATAAAAATTTTAAAAAAAAAAAAAAAAAAAAAAAAAAAAAAAAAAAAAAAAATACTATTAATTGATTTTTTCAGCCTTATTTTGTTGCTTTTAATTTTGAGGTGTGCTGAATTGCTTATAGCAATCAGGTGTTTTAGGCTGACACTAATAAACTGGTTTGATAACAGATGACCCCTTAAATAATGCACACTGTTGTACTAGGGGGTGTGGTATAGTGCAAGCTAATAGGAAGGATAGGATAGTTTATTATATTGCTGTAGTAAATGTTCCAGACCTTGCAAATTCAACTAGAGTATAATTTACCTTGGAAAAATAATTAACAAACAATACCCCCCCAAAAAAACTAAACCAAACCATGAGAAGCACCTTCCGATTGCAGAGGTATAACAGAAAATAAGCCAAGAAAGGTGCAACTGAGCGGCAAAATTGAGAAAAGGCTAAAGTGGTCTTGTAACTGCTTTGCTGAGACATTGTTTTTGCTCTTTTATGAGCACTACAATCTAAACAAATCCAGCACCAAGACATACCTGCCCAAAGTGCACGGTGATCGGCCGTCGGTCTTCTCTGAGCTTGGGGTCCAAGGGCGAAGGCGCGGTCCTGGGCAGCGGCTCTTCGGGGGCTGCAGAACACCCATTCTCAGCGATGTCCTGTATGGTAGGAAAAGGTGAATTGCAGGGCCAGGAACATTCCTGATTTAGGGTACGGAGCAGAAAGGAGGCACTAGAGGATAACACTGACTAAACATTTTGATGTTAGGAACAAAAAACAAAGCATAGAAAAGAAAACATAGTTAGCATCAAACATTTTCCTGTACTTTGCTATTCATAGATTTTGCACAATGCAGTGCCAGGGCTGCATACAAAATCTTTAAGCTTCAAACATTTTAAATAAAACTCGTCTGACTTAAATCAACAAAAGCCAGGAAATTCATGGACAGGGTTAGCGTTCTTCTGTTGCTCAGAGTGAAGAGAAGGAACAGGCTGAGCTACTTTGTCTTTTGTACACTTACATTTTATCACGAACATCATTTTTACCCCCTTAAAACAACCATAGTATAATACAGTTGTGTCTGAGGAAGCAGCATGAAGGAAGCAAACAACAGCTTGGTTAACTAGGAGTTTTGCCTTCAGGCCCACAGGTGTTGTGTGTATGCCTTGGAGAGCATCTAAAGGCAGCAACTACAGAGCACCAGGAATGGACCTGGAAGAGACAAAGGCATGGAGATGCAAGGAATCAGAGAAGGGGGGAAAGAGTTCGACAATCTGTTGAGAAAGAAAATCTGCAAGACGGTGAGTCTAAACCTCATCTCTTCTTGCAACAACGCCAAGGAAATAATGCTGGGTAAATATAGAGAGAAACCCACACGCACTGTAGCTCGGCAAGCCTGACCCGATGTGGCTGCTGACACAGGCATTGCTTTGATTCATTGACCTTTGACATGCCCCCTCAAGTTGCAGCCTTGCTAAGGTACAATAATGAGACATGTAAGCTGATAGCCAATTAGAAATGGTTCTTTTGGACACAGGCTGACCTAATGTGTTTAGGTCAAATGAAACAAAAAGCTGGATGGACTTTCTAAGGGGCTTTGTCTGCTCCACGCAGAAACCGAGAGACCTTTTTAGATCCAGTTGGTGGAACAATGGTTCAACCAGGATGGGCACAAAGGTGGTGATTGAGAAATTAACCATTTTTCTAAAGTGCAACTGTAGAAAGAAACTTTCTGGAAGTGCACAATGCCACTTGGGCTTTGAAAAATGAAACAAAATACAGTGTGCATTTGTAACGACAACCTGAGACTGACTTGATGACAAGAACTACAACTTTTGGAAGTAGGACATTCAACACTCAGGATGTGTCCAACTAGCGAGAGGCCCAGGTCAGCTTTGGAGCCCTGAAACCCATGAAAATGATATATTTTTATGAAACATAAGATGCCTGTGAAAACAAAGTGAAGGGAATTCGACCACTACAGAACCCCACCGTTTTCTTTTGTCCCCATCCCCCCAACTGACCCGCTACGCTTCTCAATGATGGTGGTACTGCACGGAAAAGAGAGGCACATGAGCACCGGCTCCAGTGCTGAAAGTACACAACAACCAACCTTGTGGGTCTAATGGTCTCCATCTGCACATGCCCAAAGGGTCTGCTGCAGATTTCAGCAAAGAGGAATTCTTGATCATTTGTTTCACAAATCCGTTATTCGGAGTAAACTGACTCGGGACCTCAGTATTTTAAAAACACGCTCAACCACAGAAAGAAGTAAACTCCCCTGTTTCCAAACACACTTGGCTGAAGGATGACCTCTGCTTTGACTGAAAGCACATCTAGGCCAAAGTCAGAAAAATCTGATTCATACTGCACAAAACATGGACTCAGAGCGCATTTCATAAACAACCGAACATCAATAGATCTGGAAATCCTATAACTGCAAACTAAGTGAAACTCCTGCCACTTTTGCCCGCAATATAGTCTCAATCCATAAACAGCCTTTGCACATGGGTGCAGCTGCTACAGCCTTCCACGGGACAAAGGGGGACCACAGAAAGGAGGGCTGGAAGTGCATGCCCTGAGCCTTTTGCAAAGCCTGAAACAACCCCTAGACCCAGAGTGTATCACAACACATTACACTGCCTCTGACCTAAAGGAATCTGTGAATTGAAGGCCAACAAAGACTCACACATTTCAAAACAAGGCAACAAATCTGGACCACTCCGGGAGGAGCTAAATGCTAACAAACAGACTCCCTGGGAAAAGTGAAAAACTCCTCAGTCTCCTGCTTCCAGATGCGATTTTGCTTTGACTTGTCAAATTCTGCTGGACCCCATGAAACATGAAGAGTCCGTGAGGGGCACTTCCTGAAGCCAGCAAGATGTGTCTGCAGCAATTTAATCTCTGTAAAGTATGCAAGGCAAGAAACACCCAAAGTAAAAACAGTACAAGTGACCAGACCAACCAACCAACCAAGACAAACATCTAATAGTCAATGTTGCAATGCCTTTTTAATAGCAAGAAAAGGCAATTTGAAAACGGTAGTAAAAAAAAAAGAATAAGCCAAAACTCTTACCTTAAGAAAAGCAGTCTATTGATTTCTGGAGAAAAGAATGACAACTATCACCCGTCATAATGTATATAGACACTGCTCCCCTGTAACAACTGTGCCTGGAGGGAAAAGTCTTTGCTAAGATGAGTTATGAATTTGCTACCCCAATGCTGGGTGACAGTGTTGCTCAATACATAACATTTAAAAAAAAAAAAAAAAAAA